GGACATAGGTGTACCCTTAGATATAACATATAAACAACATCGAAGAAATTAGCCATTATCTGAAAAATCGTTCTTCGTGCTCGAATTAAAAATTTTTCTTGAACAATTTTGCTAAACTCAAATCCAAACCTTAACACCAACCTAACTTAAACGAAACTTTAAGTGAATTTATAAAAATTTTACTATACAAAAATATCTTTAACAACCACTTAACAAAATTCAATAAATATATTTTTATTCTGATTCTACAAATCTATAAAATTTAATTTAGTTGAGATATTTTTGCTTATCAAAAATGCAGTCTTTTCGTAAGTGGTTTGCGTCACAGTATATCAGTAAATTTCATAGTTTTTTTATTTTTAAAAATTCAAATATAGAACACAAAATCAACATTTTTATTACGTATACGTAAAGCTTATTTGACGGGGATAAACCTTTGTAATGTGATACATTAATTTGATTGTCACTAGGGCTTACCTCTGATGACATCATTGATATCGTCTGTAATTCAAAAAACTAGTAATTATGGAAGCTTTTATCTATTTACATATTCAAAAAAAATAAAGTTTTCCGATCAACAACTAAATTGCGATTAAAATGTTCTGGAGATTTGGCATAAATTCAGCAATTGATGGACTTTTGGATAAAGAGGACCTTACATTAGAGGAATTGCTGGACGAGGATGATTTGCTCCAAGAATGCAAAGCACACAATAACAAACTGGTTGAATAGTATCCTTTTTTGACTAAACAAAACCATTTAATGTCATTTCGACTAAATAGCGAGGATTTCAGCACTATATATATATATATTAACAGAAGGCGCACAAAGGAAAAATAGATTATCCTTAACATTTTATTTATTACTTATCGTATAATAGCCTCCGCGATCCGATAATCCTTTCTCAATTGTTGAATTATATAATTCGTGAAGATCTGGATGAGAGACAAAGATTCAAGTATGTCAATTTTACATAAACTAGCACATATTAGCAGATTGATAAAATGCTTATTGTTATATAATTGTTGTTTTGTGGATATAAATTATATTCCTTTAAGATATCCATACGTTGCGTGCGAAGTCTTTTCTTGCGAAATTTGGGCTATTTGCGAAGCTGTCATTGATAATGTAGATTTGCTCAATACATTCTGGCAATTTCTTGACCGTCCTGCACCATTAAATTCCTTGCAGGCGAGTTATTTTATGAAGGTCAACACAGTATTCT